GTTTGGATTTGGGTTTGGATTAGGGTTGGGGCTCTGAGTTGGGTTTGGATTTGGATTAGGGTTGGGGCTCAGAGTTGGGTTGGGGTTAGGATTTGGACCAGGGCTGGGGTTTGGTGCCTGTGTCACTGGTGGTCTGGTTCCACTGATGGAGCCAGTGGTTCCATCACATTTTGGAACCTTGCAGCAAGGATCCTTGGGATCGATGACCATCCTGCATGCTGATGGTAGATTGGGATAAGAGTTGCACCTGTCAGTAAAACATAATTTATTTAAGGCATATTCTTTTTTTCTTTTGTCCCAGAATGCAGTTAACAAAAAAAAAATCAAATCATCTTTCAGGTTTCTTATATCCCCCCTCCCTTTCTCTAAAGAGAGATAAAAGCAACACAGTAATAAAATCCATATGTAATCTAGCAGGATATCAAGAGTCCTGGCTTGAAAAACCAGAAACTGTCCAACAAAATATCTTTGTGCAGCTGTTAAGGTACATGTTGTTGTGCATCTGATTCAAACATATGTGGGAAACCATCTTGAAAATTTTGTCAATATGATCTTTTTGTGTCTTTACTGGACAACATAAGAAAAGATAATTAGCTACTACTATATGAAATTATTCATTTAGCATGTCTCTGGTAACTTGAGCAGGATAAAAAGCAACATAATGATTACCCTTGATCTTAAACTTCTTCTAGTCTACAAAAAAGGAAGAAATTATGTAAACAGGTGAAATTTCTCATCACTAAAAAAATTAATTATTTCTAGAAGAAATATTAAAATTTTATCTGATAAATGCATCGAACCTGTCCTTGCATCTGTACAATCCGGTCTGGTCATTGATGCATTCACAGTTGTACGTGCAGCCATCTTGCCACTTGTCTCCAGTGCTGTACGTCTGTCCCTTGTAGAAGCAGTAAGCTGGATAAAAAATAAGAACAGGAGTCACATACCAAATAGGCTTCCATATATGTACCATCATCATTAATTAAACAACTGCTAGAGAGAGTAGTGGGCACCAGAAAGGAAAAGACATAAAGGAAGACAGAACGAAACATCGAGACAATCTGTTGAGAAGGAGAGATGACAGAAAAACAAGGATGGACGTGGGGGCAGCTTAAGGGTTATACATCAGACAGACAACACTGGTGAGCTCTGGCGCATGCCTTATATGCCACAGCAGTATGAAGAGGATACTCAGTCATCAGTCAGTCAGAGAGTAGAAAAACAAAAAAAAAAAATTATAAACAGTCAAGAAACTTTACAACTGAACATTGCTGCTTGCCAGTGGACTTAAAAGTATTGCCAAAGAAAGATTTTAATTTTTTTGCATCAAAAGTGGCTTACTTCTGGGTCTTCCAGTGACTCCTGGTGCTGGTGTTGGCGCAATCTGTGGAGGTGGAGTGCCACTGCCAGTAATCACACCTGGCTGCAAGGGATTGATCACAGAACTGCCACCAGCTGGATCTGGGTTCCCAGTGTTGGGGTTTGTGTTTGGACACTGTGGAATCTTGCAGCACTGTGGGTCCTGTGGATCAGCCACCATCTGGCAGTTTGCTGGAACGTTCTGGTAGGTGCGACACCTAAAGATGGATCAATAGATAGATAGATAGACACACAAAAAGAAAGATGTAAATATATCATCTGATACCTCAGAAGCAATGCTTAAGAAAAGAGTTCAATTTTTGACTGGGTTGCAAGAAAAATAAATTGAGAAATGATGCAGTGGCCCTGCAACCAAAGATCAGCCCAGGGGTCTCTTAACGTGGAAAACCAAGATCAAAAATCATATTTGTAATTTAATTACAGGGAAGAAAATAATGTCTGTTTTACTCACCTATCAGTACAGCGGTAGAATCCAGTTTTTCCGTCTTCACAGACACAATTCCTGTCACAGCCATCTGTCCAGGTCTGTCCCTGCACGTATCTGATGTTTTTATATGTGCAGACATCTGTAACGATTCCATGGGAATGCCAATATAAACTACATGTCTAATGCTAGGTTCAATGCATATAACTAGCAAGTGAATATAATATCAAATGCTGTGTTACTTAGGAAATTGAATATCTTTTAAATGAAATCCTTTCAAATACTGTGTTACTTTGGAAAATGAATATCTTTTAAATTAAATTCTTTCAGCTTAATCTTTAACTAATGACTTCATAAGAGAAAAATTGGTTTCACAGCTAAAACAGATTGTAGTTACTAGGCTTTTTGAAGAAGACACGCCATTAAGGTCTTACTATAAGAAATAAAAAAATCCAAATTAAGACTGCATTCCCAGAACCTTATAGTACTGGTTGGATTGATCTATCTCAGCGGGGATTATCATTAAGGCACAATCAATGTAATCAGCTTAATTGTCTGGCATTCCCCCTTGCAAAGCAACATGAACAACATCATGGACCAAAAAGTTGTCCCGACTTTACAAGTACATTAAGTTATGAGGGGGCGTGCCAGACATTTAAGCTGCTTAAACTGCATGCTATTTAGAGAGAATCAGGAGGAGTTAGATCGATCCAGCTAGTACAACGGTCCCAAACACCTACTTCGCTGGGTTGGTGGCAGAGTTGGCTGTGGTCTGAATGTGAAGACAGGATTGGGCTGCACTGTTGAGACTCCTGGTGCCACACTCCCAGGGTTAGGGTTGGGATTTGGTGTAACACTGGGGTTTGGATTGGGGTTGGGAGTGCAAACCGGTTTCTGGCAGCAGTAGTCATTTGGATCTTGCTGCATTCTACAGTAGCTTGGTAGGTTTGGATACTTGGGACATCTGCAAATAAAGATATTAAACATTCAAAATATATTTTAGCAAAATAAACAACTCGCTAACAAAGATGTAAAAAAGAAAAAAGTTAAAAGCTTTTTAGCTTCAGCTGACATCTAATCAATATTACAATTTTGTCATCCAAATTATGCTCACTTATTTTGGTTCAATTTCAAAGAATCAAATGGCTGCCCTATACGTAGTACTAATTTTTTCCTCAATTTTACTTTTCAAACATAAGGAAGTTATCTTTTTCAATACAGCTTTTACAAATTTTGACTACAAATCATTTTTTAAAATGATATTTTTAATAGTTTGTTCCATTTATTTTTCTTGACTATCACTACTGAAGTTTTACCTATCAGTACAGGTATAGTGCCCAGTGTTAACATCATCGCAAACACAGTTGTAGTCACAGCCATCAGCGAACCTGGCACCCTGGGTGTAATATCGGCCCTTGTACACACAATATCCTACAGGTAAAAAAAAGTCCATTTTTTTATTTTTAAGATATGCATGATTTACATTTCAAATATAAATGGAAGTTATAATGCTGAGTGAAACTTACTTGTTTCTCTTTCACCCTCTCCTCTTTCCATTCTCTCTTGTATAGTAGGAAATCTTAATCAAAATAATACAAAAAAAAATTCCTATAAAAATTAATACAAATTACAAATAAATATTATGACCACTACATCAGTATATACATACTTGGCTGGTTTGGAGAAGTTCCTGTGGCAGTATTTCCGGTTCCTGTGATGACTCCTGGGATACCCGTTGGAACGATTGGCACAGCGCCGCCACCTGTTGTCCCTGAAGTGACACCAGAGTAATCACAGCGTGGGGTCTTACAACAGTACTTCACGGGGTCCTGGACCAGCGTGCACTCCTTTGGAAGGTTGGTATATGTTGGGCATCTAAAATAAATTATAACAATAAAACATAATTTCACTCTTCCTGACTTGCTATTTTTTTCACAGAAGTTTAAAAATGCTTGAACTAAACGATTTCATTGACATATAGAATAGTTATTGATATTAAGTAATTTCAGTTTTTTTCAACAAAATTAAAACACTGCTCATACTTATTGACATAACTGATATTTGAATAGATGGGCAATTACAACAGAAGGCATAGAAGTCACTTACAAATCATTGCAGTTGTAGAAACCAGTTGTATCATCCTCGCACACACACTCATACTGGCATCCAACTTGCCAAGTCTGTCCTTTAGCATACTGGCGGTTGTTATATACACAGTACTTCCCTGAAAGTACAGAAGAAATTCACTCACTGATGAAGATGCTCTAGACAGACATCAAAATATTGAAAGTAAACAAGTTGTTCAGAAAAATATTACTTTATTCTTATAATATTAAAGAGCCGATGAAATTCCTCTGTGAATATTTACAGTGTGTACGATCTATAATGGTGAGTTCTGCAGATGATATCCACTTACTATTCTGTCCAGGATTTGGAGCAACAGTGTTACCAGGATTTGGTGCTACTGTGTTACCAGGATTAGGTGCTACCGTGTTACCAGGATTTGGTGCTACCGTGTTGCCAGGATTTGGTGCTACCGTGTTGCCAGGATTTGGTGCTATCGTGTTACCAGGATTTGGCCTGAATGTTACCATGCCTGGTGCTCGGGTTGTCTCTGTGACGGTTGGGAAATTGCAGGACGGAGTCTGACAGCAAGCATCTCTTGGGTCTGGTATCATTGTGCAGTAGCTCGGGAGGTTGGTATACTTGGCACATCTACATTAAAACAATAAAGTAATGAAGAAGTTTATCAGGAAGTTTTACTTAATTCAGGGATGAGACGGCCATTTAGTGAAAAATGGCGGAAAATATCACGTGTGGTTCAGGGGGTTGCCTAGGCCAGTAAATTTTTTGGGCTCCCAAAAAGACAGAAAACTGTGGGTAGTTTGAAAATCTCATCCATGTAAATCTCATTTATGAACAATCTAAAAGATATCTGAAATACATGATTATGTTAGACAGCAACAAAGAGTTCCACCAAATGTTAATTGCTTGTGAAAATAAGTAAAACTTTCATAGCAGCCTCTTCAAAAATTAAAAATAATTTACACTATCACTACCCACATCTTAGTCTCCTACTTGCAACTAATCCATGCACATTTTCAAACCATAAATTTTAAAAGTAAGCTATACCTTTCATTACATTGGTATCTTCCAGTCACTGCATCAACACACTGGCACAAATACTTGCAGCCATCTTCCCATCTCTGTCCCTGCCTGTAGGTCTTACCATCCGTGTACACGCACACATCTGAAAACAAAGGATTCATTAAAGGGATAACAATTCTTCGTATGAGATCTATATTTCACAATAAATACATTGTATGCAACTCATATTTAAAATATTCTAAATCTCCACAAAAACAGCAGTTAAAGCAATATTTTGAAATCTGTCCTTATCATCGGACCACGTGACCTCCATAGATGGCTATACTCTGTAATAATCTCTTATTTCTTATTTAATTTTGCGCAAAAACCGAGATTCATTGTGCTTGTGTACATTTGGCTACATAAACATGGTTATTAAACAGAAGTCGCTGTACTAACCCGTAGAGCCGGAGATACCTCCAGGGCCAGGTTTGGGAGTGATGTTACCGCCAGAAGACGGTGTGGTGCGACCACCATTTATCACATTCCCAGTTACACTGGGGAAGTTACAGACTGGTTTCTGGCAGCAGCTATCAACAGGATCCTGTTGCATAACGCAATTCTTGGTGTCATACTGATAGGTTGGGCACCTAGAATGAAACGGGGGAAAACATTCGTGTTATCAAAATTTTCCTTTATTTCATTATGATATATCTGCTACAGCAGAGGCGGATCCAGAGTTATTTTCTGACAGTCTTCCAAATTATCTTTGTTGATTCATCCTCCATTTTTGACCATCTTCCGACAGAAAAAAAAATAGATACCCGTCAATGTAAACTTGAAAATCTGACCGTCTTCACAAATTTTAAAGTCTTGAAAAAGAAATAAAATTACAAAAGAAAACACACACACACACACACACACTCACACACACACATCTCAAAGTGTTACTTATTCAATATACATACATACCTCTGATCACATCTGTATTGCCCAGTAACGCCATCTACACATATGCAGTTGTACTTGCAGCCATCTTGCCATCTCTGGCCTTCAGTGTACTGAACTCCATTGTATACACATACTCCTACAATAGAATGAAAATATGTCTGTAGTATGCAAAAAATACAATGCTTAATACCAGCAAAAAAACAGAAACTACTTGTTACTTGTGAAACTCACTTGAAATTAACTGTTTGTGGTGAGGTTAGTAATACAGTTATATTAGTGGTAGGTACACATACATACTTCTTCTACATTTATAAAACAAAAGTAAGATGCAATACAATCAACCCACCCTTTCAGCCTTATGGCATGAAAATGAATCAACTTTGTGATAAGAACTTAGTAATAAAAGCCAATTGAAATTTTAATTCATAAAAGAACTAATAACAAATTCAGAAGTTAAGAATCATGTTTAGAATCATCTTGGTAACACTTGGAACTTACTGGGTTGTCCAATGACTGGTTTGTTTGTGACTGGTGAAACAGTGCCAGGATTCACAACAGGGGGTGGGGTGCCAGAGCCAGTGAACCCACCTCCTGTAACAGGTGTGAAGGTGCACCTTGGTTCTTGACAGCAGTAATCCGTCTGACTTTGCACAAGTTGGCAGCTTGCTGGGAGATTTCGGTAGGTTGGGCATCTAATTAAAAAATGATCAGAAGTATGTCTCATTATCTTTATCACAATACCTCTGATTATTTAATTCGTAATTCATTTGTCTTTGCACAAGTTGGCAGGTTGCTGGGAGATTCCAGCAGGTTAGACATTTAATTTGAAAGTAAGACAGATTGTTATCATCACAATGCATCTGATTATTTTTATTCTTACTTAGTAATTACTAAAAGACACTCTAATTGGTTGTTTGGTTTGTCATTCACCTGCTGGTTTAATTGGTTACAAATCACTAAAATCCTCTAATATTACCAAAAGGTCCAAAGGAGCATTTAAATTACAGTAAGTTTGGCTCTTCTTGATCTTATATATCTTTCTCAGCAAATTGTCTGATAAAAGTTTATTAAATGTTTGTTCCATTTCCCATAATGTTAGCAAACCCACTGCCCTGCACAATACACTGCTTACTTCAAATTCAGAATATAAAAGAAGCAAAGGGCAGACATGCACACCCGTTTCTTTGGGTATGCTCATCAGATCTTAAAAGGATGATCCACAGAAAAGGGTCATACTAAAAAGGATCAAACTAGATGCTGTGAAAATGCGACTGGTGTCTCATTATAAACAGAGCCAACCCTATGATATTACCTTTCTGTGCATCTGTAAAATCCTGTCCTTCCATCCTCACAGACACAGTTGTACTGGCAGCCATCTTGCCACCTCTGGCCCTGCACATAGATCTGGTTGTTCCACATGCATCCCTCTGTAGTGGAAAAGAGGATGAATTAAATGAAAAATCAGACCTCTCATAACAAATATGGTTCAATTAAAAAAAATTTTTTATACCATAAATTTATAAACAAGACAACTGATCGATTGGATAGTAGTTTTGCTGATTGCCTGACTGACAATCTACATGTAACTGACCTATAAGCTAACTGACTGACAAGCTGACTGACAAGCTAACTGACTGACAAACTAACTGTTCGCAAAACACTCTGACTGTCAGACTAATACAATGACAAAGAACATACGTCTGGTTCCAGTAACTCCTCCTGGAATCACTCCAGTGCCAGTGATGACATTGTTGGTGCTGGGGATGGTGCACTGGGGCTTCTTGCAGCAGGTGTCGCCCTCTGTGTTCTGAACCAGTTGGCAGTAACTGGGGAGGTTCTGGTATTTGGGACATCTGAGAATGAACATACAGAATATTACTGATCAAACTGTTTAGGCAAGTGATTTTCTAAAACTAAACCCTATAAGGGAATTGCCATGGGAATTTTTTCTACAAGAAAAAATGGTTATATACACATTTTACATTTACGTAGTTTACACGGAAGACCCAATTCCATATAATTATGCACTCAATTTATGAGCTCTCTTGTTATCCATTTTTTAAACTTGTTATCTATTTTTCAAACTTTAAGCTAGTAATGTCTATACAATGACAGTTTATGGGTTAGAAAGTCTAATGTGAGTCAGTGTTCAGTGTCTAAAAGGTTTTAATATTCGGGGAAACAAAATCACCAATCACAGGGGAAAATAATATTTCACATAATTATCTCAGCAATCTTTTCATGTCAAAATCTTCACATTTACAGGTAATATTTTCTTGTATATTAACTGAAGCCCATTTTGCATGAGGCAGAATTTTTTTCTTCAAAAGTTCATCAGAACCCTTAATTTTTCCCCCAAAATATGACCGACTTCTATATGAAGAAGAATTTTTTCTTTAAAACATCATCGAAACCCTTCATTTTTTTGTAAGACATGACCCACCTCTCGGTGCATCTGTATGTCCTGCCTGGCAGACATTCACAGTTGTAGTCACATCCATCACTCCATCTGGCACCTTTGGCATACTGATTGTTCTTGTAGACGCAGAATTCTGCAAAAAAAAAAAAAAAAAAAAAAAAATAGAACTTTTATCATATGCCATCATATCATATCATATGATATTACATCCCATATCATATCATATTTTTGAAGTTATTAATGTCAGATCACATTGTGCAAAAATTCATGTATATATACTAAATATTTTAACCATGGCGTAATCATAAATGGTTAATGTCAAACCTTGCATTACATTCATAAGATGTCTTCAATTGCTTTACCCAAATCAGCAGTTTTCATTTATTTATTAATTTTATCTTTTATTGACGGGGGATATTTTAAGATATTTTAATGAATGGCCAAAAATGATTTTAAAAAAGACAAAAGACATATAATGTGCTGTGAGTTTAACAATCAGATGAGATTCAATCATGCATTAACAAACCAACAAAGTCCCCCACCTCCAGTTCCACTGATCCCCCCTGGGTTGGTGCCCGGGATGACCACAGGGTTGGGTGTGGTCCCCGCCCCAATGATCTGGTTTGNAGAGCGCGTGCCGGGCTTTGTGACAGAACCCCAATTAAGGCCTCGTGTTTGTGCTTGTAAGGTAGGTCGTAAGAATGCCTATCACAATACGACAACTCTTTGGAAGGGTAATGAATTTATGTGCATAAATGAGCAGAAATAACTCGAGTCCGAAATCTGTGCCTCTTCATTGCTCTCTGCGTCGCTTTTTGTGTGTTCTTTGTAAGCATGGGTCCTAGCGCACTCGCAGTGGGCTCAGGCTTCAGTACGTATACGTCTTACCCACTACAAGGGCGGCAATTATTGCAGGCATATTTTCCACATTTTTCACAGTTAGAAAATTGACCGTGTTGAGCCAGAGACATTATCTGTGAATACCTAGTGAAAAATCAATCTGTGGCCCTGGTAAAAGGTATATACGTCTACACCCCTCCTTTTACTCGTTAATAGTCATTTTAGCCGTATTTAAAGTAGGTTTTTTAAAGAAACATTAAGAAAATTCAAGGACTATTTAAGAAGAAATAAAGAAAAACGCGGGGAAACGAGATGTACGGTTTAAGTGCAAGAAACGCTCCCTTGGAGTATATTTAATTTAATTCAACAAGTAAAAGTACAGCGCAGTTTTCTTCTTCGATGTCATTCTACTTCAGCTCCCCCCCCCCCCCCCCGCTCCTCCTTTGACACGAAAGAGATCATGCGGCTCATTTATAATTATTTCAGTATCCTTCTTTTAGATATTTGAAGATTCGAGATTTTAAACCTGTTTGTAACATAAATATATTTCTTCATATCTCCAACTTGAACTCTTCTGGAACATGTATTTGTAAAAGTAATTTTAATTTTTTTAGGCGACAAATACAGTGATATTTTAATTGATTAAAATCAATTAAAATATCACTGTATTTGTCGCCTATAAAAACGACATACCCAAAGGCCAAAACAACGACCCACCAATAACCAACCCACGTACACCAGAGATTTCCAATTGAAATTAAAACTATTTAAAAAGCAACAATGATGTGGATCACACGTATAACTTCTGGGCGACGTTTCTATTGTGCCTCACAGGCGGCAGTTACGGCGTATTCGGAAGGAACTTTTATAATACAGAATCGGGCATTGGCTGTTGATTATTGACATAGGCCGCATATAGGGGGCTTTGTCTCAATAACTTTTGTGTGCTCGCCTAATTATTACCCCATACCCCACTTAAAGGCGACAACAATGCTTTAAAACTTGAGTTTAAACGCTGAGCACCTTAAAGTGTTTGGTCTTAATTAAGAGTAAACGACGGAGGTAAATAAGGCTTTATAACGCCAGATTTGCGCATCGCAGGAGCAAATTAGCCTTCTATTAACTCTCTTAGTTAGTGATTACGAAAAACAGCATGTGTCAGGGAGAAGAATTAAAATATTGTTGATCAAAAGTTAATGATACATTTCCTCTCAAATATATGCTTTTTAATGCAAATATTCACCATAGACAAACAGTGCAGTGAAGACGGCTTGGGCTTGAATATACTAAAATGGATTTTATTGGAATATGTGTTCCTGGTCTTTACGGTTAATGTTAGTTTTTCTGTAACGTTCGTTCCGGTAAAAGGCTTTATACGCTACTAAGTAACTCCAATGAGTTACTTTAGAAGTAAAATGTTGCGTTTAGATGGAACAAAGTGGGTTTTTATTGTTTGCTATGGAAGTAAATGTACTTATACACATTAAGTTTTCTTAGGGTCTGGTATTTAGTTGTAAAGTTGTGATGCGGCAAAATTTACGCTGTGACTGTCGTATGAAACTAGCTTTGAGGGTACACCTGATGAAAGGAGAGAGAGAGAGAGAGAGAGAGAGAGAGAGAGATCGGAGCCCACGAGACGTTTTGATATCAAATTATTCTGACATGTGCTTTCTTTTAATTTTGTAATCAATGTGTTCCATTTCAAATTAAGAGATAGATTTTTTTATCAAGAATGTACTTGATTTTATTTAATATAATATAAAAATGAGTCTCAAACTTCTGAGAGAGAGACAGAAAGAGAGAGAGAGAGAGAGAGAGTCGAAGTATATACAAACATACTGGCGAACGATATTACGCCATTTCGCCAAGGCGTTACGTCAGGTAGCGTCATTTATCCTTCCGCCGTGACTAGACCCAAACTGAAGTGCTTAAGTCCTTTAACTTAATCGCACCACGCGCCCTTCTCATTAACAGTTTGTCTCTAATTACACGACAAGCGCGTTCCTATTGAAACGGAACAAAGGGCTTAAACGTTCGCGCATCAGGTGCGAATTCCACACTGCGTCCAAGAGCGAGCTGATTGTGAAAATAAAGATAAAAAATTGTAGATTAGGAAATGTATACGAATACTATGACATCTTTTTCCAAGAATCAAATAAAATTGGCACCGATTACTTTGAGATGTTAGTTGCTTTTAATTATTAAATAATTTCATTCGAAAAATACAACCTAAGACCCAAAATGTCAGTCTCTTTTGCATTAGTATAGTTCATTAATAGAACGCTGAATACATCTATTTTTCTAAGATATATCATATTAACCCTTTCGCAATTTTCTACACACAGGACCAGTTGCTTCATTAAAATTTCAGTGGCTTAAAATGATTTAAACCTGGGTCTAATTACAGCAAAATTTCAAAGCTAAAACTGGGACCAGCATTTGTTTGAAATGGAACACAAGCCGCGTACGGGCGCTGGGATTTGACAGAAAGAAACAAGTGACCTGGAAAGGATTGAGGTGCGTTGTTTCAATGAAAACGATTAAAATGTTAAAACCGTTTAAAGCATAGCTCGGGAGTGCGTTTCTTTGTCCTGTCGTGAATATGTGGGATCTTCAGTAGATATTCAAGCTGCTTAATCTGCCCTTGAACACTTTTCGCCTGACTGCTAAATGGTATATTTAGGTCTAATTTTTCTTCAAACTGTTTCCTTTCTGTGCTTGCGTGCGTGCGTGCACACTTACTTTGATGAAAAAATGGCGGAATGGGTTTATAGAAGTTTTTTTGAAAAAGAAAAAAGATACATCTTCATCATAAAAATAGTGACATGATATTAAACAAAAATGGAAATTAGATACAATCGGTTGCATTTTGAGTGAAATAACTGAACTTTGATAATAAAATGAATTAACATTTAACACCAAAAAATATTGATCTGATTTGAAAAGAACATGAAGGAAATACATAGATAAGGCTGCATAAAACAAAACAGTCTATCCCCAAACATACGTAGTCAACTGACACTTCCAAAAGATCTCAAAACTAAAATAACTACCAAGACGATGTATCTTTCTATATCTATTCTTAGTCTTCTCCAAAATGCCAGGGTGGAGAGAAATCGGGAATTCAAGGTTTTAAAAATTGTTGAAAGGCGAGGCACGAGTGCAGTTCAATTTCTTTACCAGCTTATGAGGCATTTGTCCTTAATATTTTTCTAATTTGGAACGAAAGTAATCATATTAATATAACGCAAATACAAGCACTATGTTTGTGAACCGTGCACCGACATCGAAAATAGCATATCAAACGATGTGCAGTTATCTTAATATAATTATAATGATATTGTTATTATTATTCAACGAAATATTTAATCTAGGGCTAAACTAAGTATAAACTATTTCCCATTCAAGTACACAGCGCTGGAGAGAAAAGACGTGGCGAGATAAAGCGAGATTAACGCACATTTTGCCCCTATTAAAGAGAACAGAAATCTTCGCATTACCAAATGTTTATCCAGTCTTCTCAGTTGCGATTGTTAATCGGGATATCATCGCGCGTCTATTAATTTAAACATAATTTAAGTGCTGTATTGCCGAGTGTTGTTTTTCTGTTTTCAGTCAAGATAACAATAACTTTCCTACCCCGGGTTAAAAGCTCAGTTACCTTGTGTGTGTATATATACTGGGTTGATTATTTTCGTTATGGGTGGTTGTTTTTGTTGCTTGATCAGCCATTACATCACCCGTTTAGCCTCTTTGAAACGGTGTGTAGTTACCATTGCCTTAATAAATTTGCGGATCCATGATTTCACTTCAGAGTACCCTGTGGTTCATAGAGTATCCTGTGGTTCATAGAGCACCCCGTGGTTCATAGAGTACCCTGTAGTTCATAAGGGTACCCTGTAATTGAGAGAGTGCCCTGTGGTTCAGAGGAACACTATGGTTAAGAGAGTACCCTGTGATTCAGAGAGGACCTTGTTTTTTTTCTTGGAAACTTTCCTCTATGCCATCATCTTGTTCATGTCGTTCTCAGTAACAAAGGGTGTAAAGAAACATAGTCAGTACACCACGAGTGAGTCCACATGGGGACTCCGGAGAAATATATTTTCGCCTTTCCTTTCACTTTGCCTGACTAGTCCGCTTGAGAACACTGTTTCATTAAAATTTATAGTGTACATTTTGCTCCCCGATTCTCATCTACCTCTCCACGCACCCGCCCCACAGTAAACCACTGAAGTAGATGCACGCACAGGAGGAATAACGGTTGTATTCTGTATACAATTTCACGACAATTCGATTTGAAGTTTTGAATCATTCTAATCTCATCCTCAGCATTTTGAAAAAAATTAATTGAAAGCAGAGGAAAATTGATTGGTCATTGTACAGCTCTGCGTGATTCTTTTGTACGGATTTGAATTCTACTTATTTGTTTTAATTATTCAGATGTTTTATGACAAATTGCTAGACATCAGTTATCTGTTTTCACCTGGCGTAAGACATCGATTTACAAAATTCTAGCTACTAGGTAAAACTAACCTAGCCGTGTGAGACAAGTATCTGTAATTTATGTTAGCTATTGGATGCTTTGCCATTTTAGGTAATCAAAATTCAAAACTCAAGCGCTGCTACAATCTGTAGTAAGATCATCTGTAGTAGCGCCATATTCAATGCCAATTTTCAAGGCGAAACAAACAAGAGGGTAAAATGTCCACTTAAAAAAAGACCCCCTCCCCGTTTAAATTTGCTCACAACAGACCTGTCACGACTCCCAACTTCAGCCAAGTCCTTGGTCTGAGAAACTGTGCACCTGTACTCCGACTACGATTAACACGCCACCACAAGTCGTTTAAGATCACCTCATATCAAGAAGACCCTAAAGAGTTTAGCGCTAGATAACGCCGCTATACCTTGGGTATCAGAAATACGCTTGCTATGCGGTCTTTCATGCTCATATTTTTTCACTTTATTTTATTATTATTTTTTTTTGTATTTATCACATTAGAATGCCAAGCATTAATAAAATTTGGTTTATTTGGAATTGTCAGACTTAGTTTTTTCCAAGGACGTAATTGACGTTCTTGA